TCAGCGCCGCAGGCCTAGGTAGATGTATGCCAGGCGCGTCGCAGCGTAACAGTGTTTCGTGAGATATCGCGAAGCCTGTTACGCGAGACGTGGTCGGCGTACATCTACCTAGTTATAGTACGAAACGACCATGAAAATCGCAAGTCACTAGCTCAATTCGTCCTCCAGAGACAGACAGAAAACGTTGTTTTCCGACCAGATGGAGTAAAAGGCTTCGGTAACCGCTCAGCCAATACCGACAATTTATAAAGACAAAAGCCCCTATTAGGTAGGCACCGTTCACGACTTTGCCCCCCCCCCCCTCGCCCGGCCCCCGAAGGTGCAATAGACTACAAGTTAGATGTACGCCAGACCACGTCTCGCGTAACAGGCTTCGCGATATCTCACGAAACACTGTTACGCCCCGACGCGCCTGGCATACATGTACCTTCGCCTGCGGCGCTGACGCCCGAGTCGGGTAGTTGGAAAATGTACACAAAGCTACGGGCCCTCGGCCCGTCAACGGCCCGTCACCTCGACTAAGCTTATAGTCGTCCCTGACTTCTCGACTGGGCGGCCGATACGGTGCAGCCTTTCTGAACGACACAGAAGAGCTAGGATGACTCAGTTCGCGCCAAAAGTTGCGTCTTATACAGGCCTAAGACGTCACCAAGTCATAGGCTTTGAGCTCAATAACCGACCGAGATATGGGCTAAAGACGCGTCGCCTCAGTCGAGGGGACGACTATACAGGGTGGTGCATTTTTCGCTTATACTCGTCAAAAATACCCTCTAGCGCCTCAACGGTTTGAGCTGGAGCAAAACGGACAGAATTTTCACCCAGAGGGCTCTATTTTGATGAGTTTCCCCCCAGGAAACCGTAAACAAATATTTTTAAAGAACCTCATTTTTGGGACCTGTTGTTTTTGATTATTTTTAAAATCCAATTTTTGAGCTAGAATGCTCATCGCCGAACTCGATCTGTCTTTTTCGTGTTTTCGTGTGGACAGATACACTGACAGACAGACAGACAGAAAAATTTTTTTCCGACCAGACGGAGTAATAGGCTTCGCTAATCGCTCAGCCAATAAGGCAACTTTTAATTAAGGATAAAATAATAAAGAACAGACGCAAGCAGACATATTATGGCCTCAACTTTCAAGTCTTTGACATGCCAAGGTCCGTCACTGGCAGTCCATCACAACCAGAAGATAATCGTGACTTAGATTTTTTCTATATTGTCAAAGGTCACATCCCAATACAAATGGATGTTATCTATGTTTTCAAAATGTTAGCTTTATCTGACTGGATACGGTTAATTCGGTTGACTGCATGCAGCCCACACTTCTGAAACAGCTGGCCGCCTTCTCAAGTTCTTATCCTACATTCTTCTGATAAGCTTCATGGAATTTCTTTTTAATCTCATCAGACGACTCAGAGTTACGATGAGCTGCAGGACTATTCAAGCCAAGCCATCCTCGTCAATTTTTGCCTGAGCAATTAGCAAAGCCCATTACTCCACTGACCGAAAAAACTTCATTCTGTTTGTCTGTCCGCACGATAACTAGAGACGGAATTGAGATAGCGGTCTAAGAGTTTAAGGGTAGTTTTTTTATCATAAAAAGACAGATCGAGTTCAAAGATGAGCATTCTAGCTCAAAATTTTACTCTTA